AGTATCTTTTAGCGACTTTAATTTAAGTTCTTAAAAATTCAACGTTTTCCCCTCTTGAAAACGGTCAGTTATTTTTTTTCCATTGTTATTACAGCAGATAGGCCTTATGTGTGTTTACACAGGGCCGTCGGAACCGCACCGGCTTTGGGCTGACCACTTTTTCTCTATCCTATCACAGGTCTCCCTCCATACCACCAATTAAAAATCCTTTATGGGACCAGGGTTTTTAGTGGTCTTTAGCAGCTTTGGTCTCTAATTTGAATCAATATAATTAAAGACTTTAAAAGTAGTCTCTAATATCTCTATTTAGAGTGGAATTAAGAAATGATATAGTAAATGTAAGATGTGTGAATGGGTGTGCATGTTGATAACCATTAATGATTGGTACTAACTGCTGCGCAGACAATTGACATTACAGTTTCAAAACTTGTTATAGCATGCAAATATCATCATGAATTTGCGGGAGATGGTTTATTTCGGGGAAAAATATGCTGGAGTTCTTCCTGCCAGTTTCTAGGAGACCCCATTGCGAGACTCTACGGGAGACAATATAACTCATGGGTACTAAATGTGGTCTTCAGATTTCTCTATTTAGATGTAAATTAAAAAATAATACATTAAATGTTTTAAAATGGTTGTACAGTCACTGCATGCTCTTATTTATTCTTAATTAAACATTTCTTAGTAGCCAGACATCAACTTGTCTTTCCATTAGGCACATTGCCACTAACATTTATCGTCATTCAATTAAAAAGACGCTATACACAAAACAGAGCATTGGCTAATATATCTACATGTAAGTAATATAGGCCTATAACACAATTTATTGTATTGCCGTGTACATTTCAACTTTATTGACAATCCTTAATTTCAATATTTAAGATTGATTTTGAAATTGTTTTGGGTCCTGAAAAGGTAGGTCTAGAATTCTTTTTTCCCCTTTTTTTGTTGCTCAAGGGAAGGGTCAGGACCCATGACCCTCCTCCCCCAGATCCGCCAATGTGAATTGCGAGAAAGTGTAACTCGGTCTGGGACTGGATAAACATTCTTTTCCCATCCTTTTCCTCCTTCCTTCTTTCTTTTCTTGCATTTCTTTCCGATCATACAAAAATCTCCAGACATAATATATTTGTTGCCAAAAAGTACAAATCGTTTGTTCCACATTCTATTGTCTGTCTCTTATACACATCGTCTAGGCCTAGTAGTAGTAGGTGGATATATTATTACCGCGAAGTGGGGCGGGCGGTACATGCCTTATAATTTACTACGTGACGTGGATAGCAAGATTTTTCGATCGCCATGCAAAGTTAAAATTATATCCCAAATCCTTCTCCTTTTTTGGTATTTAAGGAAATTAATACATTTTTGTTTCTTTGTTGGATCGATTGCAGCAACCCCAAAACCAACATAATGGTATTTCACATTATATAGCATTAATCATCTATAATAACTGCTAAATTCCTACCCTATCGCGTTGTTTTGTTTTGGTGACAACATGGCCGGTGTAAGTCACGTGATTGAAACCGAGTTGGCCAAACTCTCTCTATCTACGGCTCTGGTCAGCAACAGAGCCGTAGATAGAGAGAGTTTGGCCAACTTGGCGCATGGGCGCCATGTTGTCACCAAACAGCGTGCGCGCGTATAGCTTTATAACATTTTATAAAACACTGATGCTGCATAAACTTTCTTTCATTATTTTGTTCATGAGGACAATTCAATTATGGGATTTTAACATATCATTGTAAATATCATACATAATCATATTTACCTAATTTTGGAATTAATTAATCAGTGACGTGCTGTATTATTTCGAAAAGATAAAGTGAGGACGATTCTTTTTTTTTTTTTTTCGTTACGATTATCTTTTTGTTTTGAAAGTCTATCATCTAGGCCTAGGCCTATCTAGTTGCTAGCAGCCTCCTCTGAGGCTCCTAAGAGTCAACACTGCAGAGAAGAAAGGTTGGTTGTGCAGACAGAGTAGGTTTGTGAATCGTCGGCGATAATATGTTAATTTCGCCTGTAATGAATGATAAAATATTAATAACATGAAAGTTTTATAATTGTATCTAGGCCTTTAGGTTAGGCCTATGACTTCGTAAACTTTAATTTATGAAATAATATGCTGGTCATCTGCAAACCAATACAAATAGCCTAGGCCTATTTGTAAATTGTAATCTAAGAATTATTGCATTGAGGGAAATTTTTGTACAACATATGCCTAATCATTCATAATCAAGAAGCTAGGCCTTGTAAGTAAAATAGCAGCATTCTCCATACTTTGTTTATAATATTAGGGAGTTATAATATTATCATTATTACTGTATTATTATTTATTTTTATTTTTATTTATTATTATTCATTGAAATTTTGATTTGTAATTTGTAAAACATTAAAACGTTTTGATTTAAAATATGTATTAAAACAATACAATTAGGCATATCTTTAAAATATATTTTTATGTTTAAAATCTTTAGTTGCACAATTAATTGATTTGTAAAGCACAATTGGGCATGTTTGCATAGCACAGGACTCCTTGGACAAGTTTTCGCTTTTATTGGAGGATTCAATTTTTATTTTTAATTATAATTTAAGCTACCTTTGACTGATTCTTCATGTAGCTTTCTGGATAGTTAGGCCTATATATAATTTAACAGCAAAGTGCAACATTGCATCTTTTTATAAATCATTGCTGCTTGAAAATCCTTCCTTTCCTTTTTTTTTTTTTTTTATTATCATCGTAATTAAGCCGATTTAAGTACTACCTTACGGTGTTCGGCCGAAGAAGTACCGAAATTTAGGCCTGTCTAGACCTACAGTAGTAGTAGTAGGTGGATATATACCGCGAAGTGGGGCGGGCGGCGGTACATGCCTTATAATTTACTACGTGGATAGCGAGATTTTTCGATCGCCATGCAAAGTTAAAATAAAATCCCAAATCCTCCTCCTTTTTGGAATTTAAGGAAATTAATACATTTTTGTTTCTTTGTTGGATCGATTGCAGCAACCCCAACATAACGGTATTTCACATTATAATTATAGCATTAATCAATCATCTATAATATTACTGCTAACTTCCTACCTTAACGCGTTAGTGACAACATGGCCGGTGTAAGTCACGTGATTGAAACCGAGTTGGCCAAACTCTCTCTATCTACGGCTCTGGTCAGCAATACTTTCATGAATATTTATATTCACTTTTTTTTGGCAAAGCTCGAGCTTTGGACAACGTGCAACACCAACAAACCGTGCTGTAGTAGACCGCAATTACTATGATGGCAAATATAGGGTGAAACATCCGCAGACTTCAACCCCCTTTTTTATCTTAAAAGAACATTAAATAAATTTAAAATAAATAATAATTAGCCTATTATCTACAAAATAATGTAGGCCTAGGCCTCAGGGAATGTGTCACTCACGCGTACATCCTGTACCAACATGTACGAAATATAATTTGTTTATACTAAGTTGACGTGCATGTACAAGTATAAAGCTACTCACGAACTAATAATAATAGTGGTAGTGGTAGTAGTAGTAGTAGAGTAGTAGTAGAGTAGTAGTAGTAGTAGTAATAATAGTAGTAGTAGGCGGCGTAGGCCTCGTAGGCCTAGTAGTAGTAAGTGGTAGTTGTAGTAGTAGTGCCAGCGGCAGCGGCAGCAGCAGCAGCTGCAGCAGTAGTAGTAGTAGTAGTAGTAGAAGCTTGCACAACATAAGGATATATACATAACTTATCAATAAAAATAACAGTTATAATAATAATAATAATAATATATGTAGGTGATCTTAGTGTATCCAAATAAATATTTAGTTGTATTGGGTTAAATTCATTTTATCATTGAGTTTATTTATTAATAGACGGTAATTGTTGTCGTCGTTTTACGTATAATGTAGGCCTATCCGAAATCATGAACACACAGAGTACAGTACAAGAAAGGATGAAACACAGTAACATAATTAGTTACCGTAACATTGTTTGTACAGACGTATCTTTTTAAGATGGGTGATGCCAGTATAATAGAAAACAAGTCCCACTGGTTACGAGAAATCAACTATGCTTATTATAGGCCAGTTTATTCGTAGTCATCATCATCATTAGACCTATCGTCACCATTATTTAATTATTGTCATCATTTTTCATGAATTACAGGCCTATCTGTACGTCCATATTGTACTTGTGCATTTTAAACGTCAAGTAAACAAACTTCATTACTTCATTTCTCTATACAGCTTTTTGTAATCATAGCCTAATCATTATTAGCTTAAACATATGTTATTACTTCGCCATGCAAGCCTTCAAAAAATACTTTAATCTAATAATTATTCATTTCTAAAATATATAAATATCAGAATTATAATAAAAATTAAGGGGTTCCAAGTGGTTTTCAAATATTCTACGGTACTCTTCCTTCTAGGTTGGTCCTACGCCTGCATAATACACTAGGCCTACTGGAGCGTTGCTTATCTCGCATCGCAGGTATCAAAACCGCTCTGTAAATTAATAGTCATGATTTTATTGCCGAATCCTATAGCGTCACCAATCGACACTACCTCAAACGTCCAGGAAAACAAATTTCGCTAGCCGGCCCGTTGTTTCGCATACCTTTCGGAAATGTCACACCCCTGCCCCCAAATTTCTAACACTGGTCAATAATAAATTAATAGATGGTAGATTAGAGTTCAGAATTATCTTCTACTCATCTGTTCATTTATTGCATTAGAAAGGGGGGGGGGGGGGGGGGGGTTAGCTTTTGAAAATTTGTCGAGAAAAATAAATGTGGCGAAGAGAAGCAAACATTATTTGTCATATTAAATATTTCACAATTATATTTTTATCATTGTAGCATCAACAGTGCTCTATTTTAATCACCAGCTAATAGCTTAAATCGAGATTGTCCTCAACGAGAGCACCAAGAGTAAACTTGCCGAGTAAGTAAGGTACTTATACAAATTGAAGTGTAAACATGAATATTTAAAATTTTTTTTATTTTATTTAGGCAGTAAATACATAACTAATTATAATGATTTACTATTAACATTATCTCTAAATTTACTTCAAAGTTAATTATACAAATTTAAGCTTAAAACTGACATTTGAAATATTACATTTATCCTTACATCTTTTAAGCAGTAAATATAAAACTAACTTATAATAAAATTATATCAAAATCTACTTTTGATACAGAAAATGTTGACCAACTACTACAACGTCTCTACTTCTGAAACTGATGAAGATATTTCGTCTGTGTATATTTTTAGAATGTGCATACATTTTATTCTACCAACCATTGGCATTTGTGCAAACTTATCGGCGGTAATTGTTTTTATCAACTGCAAACTTCATCGTGGATCCTTCACCTATTTATTGGTATTTCAACAATCCTTGATCGATTTGCTAGCAAATTGTTCCTATTTAATATTTTATGTTATTGGAACTAAAATATCAAAACTAAACGATATTTACTGTAAGTCATATACACTCTACTACTTCTTCATATTTTCCTCATCGCTAAATCTTGTTTTCATTTCTGTGGAGAGATACATCGCAGTAGTGTTTCCGTTTAAGTACAGGATAAGACGTGACCACAAAAGAAGCATGTTACTACGGTTGTCTCTTCCATTCATAGCTGCATTTATGATAACATTTCAATTTGTCTTTATAAGAGCCAAACATCATCATTACTCCTACTGTACCTTTAATTACAAAAACAAAATCATTGGGATATTTTCAGGTATCTTTATTTTTTTAAGTATCGTATGTTTCATTTGCGTTATGATATTTTGTTACTATCGTGTTTACGTCACATTGACGAAACAATCTAAAATTCGAGCAGAATTGACAAATCAATCACAAAAAAACCATACAAACACTGCAGGTGAAAATGACCAAAACGTACAGGATTTTGAGATGGGCAATTCACCAATACAATCATATAATATAAACAAGGCTCAACGGAATTTCATCGATACTATGTTTATTAATACACTCATCTATATCGTCTGTAATTTTCCTATGGGCGTCTTGTATCTGGTTCATACAATTTGCGAGTGTACTCATTACATATTTTATTACATATTCTTATTCATGGTGCTCTTAAACACGGTAGCCAACCCATTTGTATACGCCTACAAATTCGATGATTATCGGAATGGATTATCTAGGACATTCTGTCGACGGTGTTAAATAATATTTATAGTTCATCATGGACCCCAAATACCGCCATCATCTTTGTCGTTATCTTTACCGTAATCGTTCTTATATTTGTATCTCTCTCACTTTTTCAACAGCACCATCTTTATTATTGTCACTTTTAGACACAAAGAGACTATTTGGAAGTCGGTGTCCATGCATTCTTCCTTTCTACATAGTAGTAGATTGCGTTGCAAGTAGTAGTTGTTTTTCGATAATACAACGATTATTAGCATTTATTTTGTAATGAAATATAATATAGCCAGCAGAAAGAGGCCAATATTTTTGTTCTATTTTCTTTTTGTATCCCATTTTTCTATCCCCCACCATAGATTTTCTGTCCTCCACTTTGGTCAAGAACTTCCGTGCTTGTTTCAAGCTTTGTCCAAGCAAAAACCATAATTATATCAAATATGCCCATATTAAAATATGAAGTCATATTATATTGAACATTAATAAGCGGGTAATTAATCGTGTGCCTTAACGCATGTTACAGCTAAGTTAAACGCTAGCTACAGCTAGGTTAAACGCAAAAGTACTGTTACTCTTAGGCTATGTTCACACACACACGGCGTAAGGCACGCTTAAGCATGGCGTAGCGTACGCCTTTGTGTGTGAACTAGGCAGTGGCGTTGTTAAAGCCACTCACTACGCCACGTCCTTGGCGTTATTAACGCTACCTGCAGACCCCAGATTAGCTAACGCCACTGAGCTAACGCCAGTGATGCTTGAATGATTTGACCTCATTTCAAGAGATTGACTAATCACGATTGCAATTAGCTACTTTGGTCTCTTTCCAGTGCTCTCTATAAATGAAATGGTAAAGGGGTTCTTTTTCTATTGCATATCTTACTTAGTTATAATGTATATGATTTGTTGATCTTGTTTTGTAAGATATTTTAACCTATTTAGACTGTCTATTAAAACCTGCAACACCAACAATGCTAGCTGAAAAATCAAAGTAAAATTGTTCATTTAAAATACAATAATCATATAAGTTCACTTCGACCAATTCACAGATTTAAAAGTTTTACTGATACACTGTTAATTTTACTACAGTTAAGAACCCGTACATTATTTAAAATTTAAAACTATTCACCCATAGGTCTATATTACTACTAGTTTAACGCTAGCGTTAATATATAGCGAACGCCGTTGGTGTGAACACTTTGGAATTTTAATCCGTGAATTAGCTTACGCCTGGCGTAAGCTACGCCAGTCTTACGCCGTGTGTGTGAACATAGCCTTAATAACTATAGACTAGGCAAATTTGGAAGAAATGTACTTATTTAAGGTGCTGCAGGCAAATCGTGTTAATTTTTGGCATACAACACTCTTTAAACGGCTACTCAAATTTTAAACCTTCTTCACACACTGGCTTCCGGTTGATAAGCGTATCATCTTCTTTATTCTTCTCACTTAAAAATTCATTTATGTTCATGACTCTTCTTGTTCTCGTATTGATAAACATGTTTCTTCCCGTTTAGAGACGATACTCCACCGGTCAAGCACATTCGTAAAAATAAAGGTTTTTTTTTTTTATTTTTGCTCCTAAATTCTAGAATTGTCTGCCCCCTAATTACGCATCATTTCATCATGAATTACAGTATTTAAATCCAATCTTAAAATGCCAGACATCGGATGATAATATGTTCGATTTGTTGTACAACTGATTTTTTAAAGACACAAAATGCATTTGACGAAAAACTCAGCAAGGTTAATGAGATACAGATTTTTAAATATTAAAAAAACTGGGGGAAAGTTGGGAAAGGGTGAAAAGGGGTCGAAGGTACCTGTATCAACAGTGGTTCAGCAGATTGGTAAACTTGCTGTAAAACTTTGATCAGTCTCAGGAATGGAAGTTATGGGAATCCTGTTATGCCGCTTCTACATCCTCTATAGTGCATTTAAACAGACCAATAACAGTAGACCACCAACAAGTGGAATTCATGTGATAGCGAATCGGCATACGGAACATGTTATACTGCAGATAAAAATAAAATAAATACACGTGATAAAATAACACGTTAGTGTAGGTAAGTAATCGTGAATTGACAACTTAATTGAGTGGTGTGATAATATTTACATTGTTCCAATTCTTAATGCTGTTTCATATTTCATGTTTAAAATTTCATTGGGTCACTAAAATACAGTATGACCTAAAATGGAACATCAATGTCAATGAAGAAGAGGTCATTTTTCAGTTCATGATTTGATTTTTGTTTACGTCTGTATTTACCCTTTGATGCAATATGATTGCCCTGTACTGGTACTGGTACTTGTTGCCGTCTGATTTCAGACATTCGGCAACCATTGACATTATGTTGGCGTTAAAAGACTGCATATTATGATGAGAGACCCGTGTACAAACAATTACCAAACACAAAAATATGGAAAACTGAATGCTATTTACAATATGTTCTATTTAATGTGGGTGAAACTTTCTTTTATAGATTGGCTTCTATTAAGTTGATTTTCATCTATTACGCATTGAAGAATAGATTTAATTTTTTTTGCTGGTTATATAGTGGAATGTGAGAATTTTACATGGATCATCATTTGGTCTTTTTATAACATGACTGATCCATTTTGATTGTTGGTCTTGATAGAAGGTCCTAAGTGGCATGATGTTTGTTATTTGATATAGATTTTCGTTTGAAATCCTATACCTCAAGTCATATTCATCTGTTGTTGATTGATGCTCACTGTCTTCACTGTCTGTCAGTATTTCTGATTGCAGGTGGATTAACTCGTTTAAATCCATTTCTAACCATTTGTCGAAGGAAGTTATTGTAAGTTGATTCTAGTTTAGATATTTCAGCTGTTGTGGGTAGCCATGAAAGTTTGAAAGGCAAATGGGAAAAACCCATTAAACAGCAAACGGCCATATAATGCAAAACAATTTAAAATTAAAATTAAAACGGAACAGTAGAGAAAATCCGATCGGAATGACAAAATAAACTAAGCATCCACTGGAGGGAATCCCAATATCTCCAGACGGATCCGTTTCGGCCTTCCAGGCCTCATCAGTGCAGCTAGGGTACAGACCCAAACGAAACGTTCGACCAGCTTAGGTAGGGCCCAAACTAGTCCCACATCCACTAATGATTACAGAGCCAAACCAAGGCAATATATATACACAGCCCAAGTGTGAATGCAAATAGTGGAATACAAGCTATGCGGCTCGGTTCCAGTAGATACAGAGAATATTTTGTCATTCTTAACGCGTCCTACAAAATCCTTACGAGACAGCACTAGTCCGTGAATTTGTGAACAAGATCGGAGATCTAAAGATGCAATCTCTACCGTGCATCAATGGCGGCGCTGGATCTCAATAGAGATTCTTAAATAATATATAAATTTGAAAGGCAAATGGGAAAAACCCATAAAACAGCAAACGGCCATATATGCATGCAAAACAATTTAAAATTAAAACGGAACAGTAGAGAAAATCCGATCAGAATGACAAAATAAACTAAGCATCCACTGGAAGAACACACCCACCGCAGCTCGTCGTAAGATTTTTGTGTTTAAGTAAAGATATAATAACCAATAACGGTCATTAGTCAAAGTAGTAGCCACTAAAGTAAGCTTGTTTCACACACGAAATCCTGTATAGACCTACTATAATCAAATCATATATAATTGTACTGATATTATTAACGTTTAGCCTATTTAGCAAATTTTGCCTATACAGCATCAATTTATGCCTAAAAACACTGAAATAAAGAAATAAAAAGAGTAATATGTAGTACAGTATAAAGAAGTATAGCATTAGGTTTTGTTGTGTGTAATGTATATAAGTGTATTTGATTTTAATAAGTATATATAATGTTTGTAAATATTTTAACAATAATATCTATGTAATTACCGTATTTATTTGAGTGAACATCCCGCTTTGAATAAGAGCTCCTCGAATAAACTCCTCCCCTCCCCCCCAAAGCCTCATTTTGAATAAACGCATCTCTCAAATATACGCCCAAAGACGTTTATTTTTTTCCTCAAATAAAGCCCCACTTAAACGGTTGTATAAGCAAATATAATGGAAGCAAGTTCATTCTCAACACTTTTAATATATTATTTTTCTTTTTTGGTTGTGATCAATTATTTGTCTGTATGGTTGCGCAATAACGTCATTTGACTGTAACTATAGGCTTGTAATTCCACATTTACAGTGAAATTATGGGGAGTTTATTATTTTGAGTTTATACGTATCCACCTCACACCCAAAAAATAAATTTATGACTTTTTTTTTAATTATCTTTTTAAAATAATGCAATTTGTTTATTATTACTCTGTAAAGTCTCCTATATTAAAAATGTTGCGGTGTCCCACAAGGGTCTGTTTTGGGTTCATTACTCTTTTCGCTTTACTTGAATGATAAGGCCTATTTACCACACATCAAAATTGCTGAATACAATTCTTTTGCCGATGATACTGGTTCTTTACTTGCATGAAAATGTGTCTGTACTATGTAACATGGTGAGCGAGCCAAATGAGCGAGCGGTTAAAGCAGGGGCACCGTGATCATAGCCAACAATATCGGCACGGGTTCGCGGCCGGCTTGCTCCTATAGTTCTGGTGGTGGAACACGTCTTCTCGGATAAGGACTATAAACCGTAGGCCCAGTGTACATAAATGCTCATGTGCACTTTAAAGAACCCAGTACATCTTTCGAGATGAGTAGGGGGTTACCTCGGTGTACTTGTTCATTCGGCCTCTGTCGTGGACAGATGAAAGTGCGCCGGTTTACTGGCTGCTGAAAACATGAAGTGACCCTCAGGGGAGGAGAAAGTTATTGTAAAGTGCAACATCTAGTCCCAAGCGCATAGAGACCATGTATTATGCGCTATATAAGTCTTCAACCATTACCATAATAAGTTAAACGAAGCCCGTAATTGGTTTAAGAAAATCACATTATCATTAAATGCAAAAAAAGACATACTTTATGTAAGCCTACCTGGGCACCCGTATGCAGACAAAAAACATAAGTGCTAACTGAGATATTTATCACCATAAGTGTAAATTAGATAGAGTTAATTAAGCTACCTTTTAGGAATTACTATTGATGAAAATTTGACGTGGAGAAACATTGAATATGTTTGTAAATCATGTTATAGAAATTAACAAAGACAAAATGTGTTTTACCAAAGGTTTCACTCTATTAATTCACTCTATTGGTTCTACCGTATTTAAATTATGGTTTGCTACTATGGGGAAATGCCAGTAACATGTATATTAATATTTATTACAAAAACGTGCCTTAAAGAGCAGTATCACACAGTTCGTATCTGTGTCCAACTAAACCATTATTTCTGAAATATGTTTTAAATATTTTCGACATGTACATAAATTAAATTTCTATTTTTATGTACAAATGTAAGGACGACATGTTACCAGCTTCACTTAAACATGTTTCACTGCTTATTTTGAAAACTATAATTCCTAATTCAAGTTACTAGGGTTAAAACTGTGATGTTTTCAGGTCCAAAAGTATGGAAAGATCTGCTTAAGTAAATAATTAACTTTATTCTCAACCGTAAAAGATGTGCAACAATAACATAATCTTGCCAAATGTGCACATACGTTGGTATAGTTTAAAGAGACTCTTAAAGGTCTGTGAT